CCATTGATAGTTGGATTGGTTGAGTCGGAACGATCTCCAGTTGATTATCGGGTTGTGGACAATGTGTTGACCAAGTGACTGGAGCGATCGACTTGTTGAATGAGGGCCGATTCGCGTTTAAGACTTTTGAGGCGCTGGCATTCCTCGAATACCTTTTGTAGTGGAATTGTGGTGTCCGGCTCAATGGTGACCAGGAGACGCTTCCGGAGGTCTGCCTCACTCAGGGTGTGAAGACCAGGCATCTAGACTGGTCCTCGATCAACGAGCTGAGTTGTAACCGACCACGGGCACCATTGACGATACCCGCGTATTGGACAAAGTCGTCGGCCTCTCGTTTGACTGTCTGTAGGCATTGAAAACGGGAATGGAAAAGAGCAAGAGAATCGTCAAAACTCTTGGCGAGGCTATCGACAGTTTAGGGAAAATCACGGGAACGGGGTTCATCTGGAAGGATGAATTTACAATAGCGAGTTTGCTCCGCCAGGCAAAGTTTCTGGAGGAGCAGACGGACCTTTCCATCGTCTCCATGTTTGGCCAGTTCGACAGTAAAAGCGTTTGAACCAGGGGTCGAAGGTAATGCAGGCGTTAGGGCCGTACACGAAATCGGGCGTACTGGTCCAATGACGGGAGGTCATTGGAAGGAGCAGACTGTCCCAGGCATTGTCCAACCGCGTTTGTCTTGAGCCCAGGATCCAAAACTTGCCCGATCTTATCGTTATCCGTAGGTTGAAAAAAACAATTGGTGACGGGGTATTCTATGAATCCCACGCAAGTTGACCAACCTCGACCCCAACATGAAACAGCTCATTCAGTCGCAGGTCAAAATGAATGAGGTTCTGTCCGAGCGGCTAGGCATACTGCATTTACGGCCCCAGTGTTTCTCTCTGACCACTGAACAAATCCTGACCACACAAATCAACGGCTCCTTCCCAGAACTTTGTCCGAGATGGTAAAAAATTCACTGTTTTCCAAACATGATCTTTGCCTCTACTGATATCCACAAGGCGCACTGACCCTGTGATGATAGGTATGACCAGTTGGAAGTTGGTGACAACGACACCGGGAAAGAAAAAACGTTCAAAGGAGGGTTCTGAAATTGGCAAATTGGATGTATCGAGAGGGACGCGCGAAGCAACATCGTGGAAGTGCATCTACGGGTGTCGATATCTCTTCAAACCGCGGAATCGTTTCATTGTACGGGACCCAATTGTCTTCACCTTCGTGTAAAATATCGCGCTCGGTGTTTGGAGTTCGTGATTCACGCCGATTCCAAACGCAGACTTTTGCATTGAATCTAAGATATCTACGTTTCGCTATTGCCGTTACAGATAACGGTTCCAGTGGCAATCGCAGCTAAACTCGGTGCAGTTGACCACTGATGCTTCTACTGGTGATTTGGCTGTGACCTGGCTGTTGTTTTCTGACACCAATGCCTCTGATAGATCAGTACGTACATCCGCGCTGAAAGTAGAAATTCGTGATCAGTTAAAAGCTGATTAGAGGCGCGTGGAACGTTTTCAGTCCAGGCATGAACACAAGCGCTTTCTCGATTAAGTCAAAGGAACGTTGAAAATCATACAGAATAAATAAGTGATGGTTCATTCGGGGTCATCCAAAAAGGTCTGAAAGAGGGCAGACTGTATCCCTATCTTGATACGACTGCTTTCTAGAACCAATGTTGATTATCGGTAACAAATCTTGGGAGCACATCCAAGATCAGCCAATGTGTAAAACTGTCAAACTCAATCTGATATACAGAAGACGATTTTCACTCTTGGTTCTTCTTTCACGGTTGATTTTGGCGTGCCCGAACGTTGTGCTGAGCCGAGAGAAAAGTGCTGCTTTAGCTCATGAACTCCAAGAGCGAAAACATTGTGTGGATATCGGAGGCATGTATTCTGTGGGCCAAATGTTCCCGGGATCGGTTTGAAGCCTTCCAAAATTAGACAATAACCTGGAATACCAATATCAAAAAGGGACATTAGTAGACTTGAAAACGGAAACTGTGTATAAATTAAGAACACAGTGTAAGCGAATATATGTTTTCGGTGAATTCCTTTTCAAGCCTTTACAATCACATTCATATGAAACAATTTCAATAAGGTCAAACAGAAAGATGGATGAGTCATGTGTTTGGCAATGAATTCGTTTAATAACATGGTACGTTGTCCTGGAGATATTTGGGCGAAGAGGAAAACCCTGAAGTGGAAACAGCTAGCTTTAGGCTCGCTGACTTTGTGTTTCTCCCTGAGCACTTTCGGTTATATTACGTGAAAATTATCACAACAATGTGAATATGAGCAGTCTCCCAAGCCGTCTTGTTTCATGCTTTAAAAGAGAGGTTTCAATGCTTTATCAATTTTGTGATAATTATTTAGGACTGTATTCTGCCTCGAATGAATCTACTGAAATCAGTGCTTCTAGCATGAAGTGTTGTACCAAACCTATTGACTTATTCATTACTCCGCATCCTCGTCCCTTTTTCCTGCATTTATTTTTCATTTGCATGGCATTAAAGAGCTTTTCCTATATTTACCACCATATATTTCAATTGCTCTTGGGTCACATGATCTTGCGGACAGACGATTAGTTCATTGATCCACCCCGGGATCAATGAAGTGTCTTTCAAATCACTTAGGGCTGCATGCTTAAGGCCGAAGTTCACTAGGTCTTACACATAACTGTATCTATACATTAGTTGCACCATAAGTTCCAGCCAGCCTTAGCATCCTTTCAAACAGATTTAAATTCTCCGTGAATATTTTGTTATTCAGCATGCAACCGCCACCTTGTGAATGCTGCCAACATCAACATGATGAGTGTGTTGGAGAATTTCAGAACGCAACAGCCTATCGAGATGATTATCGTCGTTTTGAGACTGAAAGACCCGAAGCGATCAGAATGCAAGACAATCTGGTTCCTTGTAATGGACCTTTCACAAATCATACAGCGTACCGAAATGATTTTCGCCACTGCGAACAAGAAAGACCGAAACCCATTCGAATGTCTGACAACATTATGTGTTCTTGTGACCCTTTTCAATGCCACACTCAGTATCGTTCTGACTTTCGAGGCTCGGATCAAGAACGACCAGATCCCATCCGCCAGAAGGACAATCTATGTCCTTGTGATGCACCGTTCGCATGCTCCACAAACTATCGAGCGGACTTTCGAGGCTCGGATCAAGAACGACCAGATCCCATCCGCCAGAAGGACAATCTATGTCCTTGTGATGCACCGTTCGCATGCTCCACAAACTATCGAGCGGACTTTCGAGGCTCGGATCAAGAACGACCAGATCCCATCCGCCAGAAGGACAATCTATGTCCTTGTGATGCACCGTTCGCATGCTCCACAAACTATCGAGCGGACTTTCGAGGCTCGGATCAAGAACGACCAGATCCCATCCGCCAGAAGGACAATCTATGTCCTTGTGATGCACCATTTGCGTGTTCCACAAACTATCGAGCGGACTTTCGAGGCTCGGATCAAGAACGACCAGATCCCATCCGCCAGAAGGACAATCTATGTCCTTGTGATGCACCGTTCGCATGCTCCACAAACTATCGAGCGGACTTTCGAGGTGCAGAACAGGAACGACCAGATCCCATCCGCCAGAAGGA